GCAATTTATGATCCACTTGTCGCCTGCTGTGATTTATTGCCAGCAGCCCAATACAGTTCTGTTACACTTCGTTTGTCCGCGCTCGCATTCTTCAACTGGTCGTATACATTTCTACCACCTACACGTTTAGTTCGACCAGACTTATATATGGGTATGGCTAAATAAATATGGGAACAAGTTTTTCAAATATTTCAATGCCGAGTTGCTGCTTAGCGACCGAGCCCGGTACATACCTTGAAATTATAGGTTCTTCAATTGACTTCGGAAAAACTATAAGATCCATTTTCAATCGAAAGTATTATCTTTGGGATTTGACAGAAACGACTAATGACGTCATCAATTATATTTTTTCCATAAACATACCCAAATTTTTTTCCTGTTCAAAAGCTCTCTTTTTTCTAATAAACTTTTATTAGAGACATTTTTCTGTATTACTTCCCGTTTAAAAGTTATAAACAATATCGTTCTAAAGAGTCTCAAAAGAAATACCTAAAAATCACATTAGCGGTGGAAGGATCAAGTAGTCGTCGGAAAATAATTGAAAGTTCGCTTGCGTAAAAATTATAATTTTAAGTAAAATCCCATATTGTAACAAACAATTTTCAAACAACACTTTCCTCCAGTGCAACTGTCGGCGATTTACCACTTATAGGCAAAATTATTATCTGCAAATGCTACTTTTATGCGTTACGCGCTTATTGTATTATGCATGGATATTACGGAGGAAGATTAAATGGCTCCGGTAATGTTTTATTCGCTTTAAAATAACGCCGACGCCGAGGGAATGTACACCATTGCGATTTTGCGCGTTAAGCATGTCCAGATTTTATGACGGATTTTTTTCCCGTCTATGCGGCCGACGGGTCTTCTGCGCCTTTTAAGCAACTCGCAATATCTCAAATCCTTTGTAGATGCCAGAAGAAAATGATTCTCGAGGGGACAGAAAGAAGAATTCGACATTGTGAAAAGGAAGTTTACGTATTTTACTCTTATTTTTTTACCAGGAATAGAATTATGCCAGAATTGTGCCCCAATACACTTAACAATTACAGTACAAGCTCAAATTGTCACGTTCCAAAGTAAATATGTAGGACTTTTCAAAAATTGGTATATCTAGTGAGGCCATCTATTGGCAATTACATGCGGTGGAAAGGTTCTTCACTGACGTCTTGTCAAAATTTCATGACATTTGGACGTATAGAAGTGGAGTTATTGCGTCTGAAGTGACAGCATTGTGTCAACTGGAATTGAGCATTTCAAAAACATCAATTTATCGCGTTCGTACAGACACTGCATTAATGAAGCCACGTGGCTCTGAGCTTAGGCAGCCAGCATTGCACAATTGACACTGTTAACTATAAATCCCGAAATCTTAAAGTCGATCGGCGATTAGTTGAATAAAATGTCGCAAAATTACGCTAATCGCCAAAGTGAAGCATTTATTTTACCAAAATTTAATTGACAAGGGAAATAAATGGTTTCATAGACCAAATATTCCACTTTTTGGATGTAAGAGGGGGCACATAATAAAAGTGTGGATCCCTAAATCTGGGCGAGGTCCGGAACATTTTCAAAATTGCAAAAATAACAAAAAATACCTATTTTATCTGAGTTTTTTACTTATATCTTGGAACCTATACATTTTGGAAGAATTGAACAGGAAAAAAGTTTTAGAATTGAATTCTGCACAATATACTGTAAGTTAAAAATGTTTAAATTTATTACCAATGTTGCAAAATAGCAATAAGTTTTTTGGATAATTTTTTTTAAATATTTTAATTGCCTCGGAAGCATTCTAATTTTGGTAAAAAAAACTTTAGAGTATAATAAAACAACACGCTAAATTTCATTAAAATCGGTTCGATAGTTTTCGCAAAATATTTTTTTGAAAAATAATTTGAAAAAAATTTTTCGAATTTTCAAAATGTTGCAATCTCAAATAAAGCATCTAGATACTTGAAAAATTTTTCACGTGGAAAAGACAGCTCAACCCTTCAAATGGTTTTTAAAAAATTGAAATTGGTTCATTAGGATGGCCACAGTAAATTTTTAAATTTAATACCCTTTTTATTTTTAAACAATTAGATTACATTTATCAATTTGCAATTTAGTTTTTTTTCAAAAATTATAATTTGAAAGTACTCGGAAAGACGCTTCTTTAAAAAAAAAAGTTAAATTTCGTTTATTGGTTCTCGAGATATAAGCGGTCAAACTTTATCGGCATTTACCGTTAATTTATAAACAATTTAGCAATAATCTTTGATCCAGTGGCTTCGTTTTTCCGAGTTCTAAGCTGGAAAAAATGTTCATATCCATAAGTTATCGGAAACATAGATAAATCAGCCGAAAAGCTGTCGCTCGCACGCGCTAAAAGAGACTCACGAATAGTGGGGGAGGGGGCTTTTCGCTTCGATCTTTTCTTTTTAATCCGCAATTAAGCAAATTAAAAAAAAAATATTTGGAAATTAATTTTTGTGTTAAATACAGATAAAATTAAGAAAAAATGGTACTTTAAAATTATAATTTTTGAAAAAAACTAAATTACAAATTAATAAATGTAATCTAATTGTTTAAAAGAGTATTAACTTTAAAAATTTACTGTAGCCGTCCTATTCAACCGATTTCATTTTTTCAAAAACCATTTGATAGGTTGAGTGGTCTTTTCTATATGAAAAATTTTTCAAGTATCTAGATGCTTTATTTGAGGCTGTGCAACATTTCGAAAATTCGAAAAAAATTTTTCAAAAAATTATTTTGCGAAAACTGTGTAACCGATTTTATTGAAATTTGGTGTGTTGTTTTATTATACTCTAAAGTTTTTTTTACCAAAATTAGAATGCTCTCGGAGCAATTAAAATATTTTAAAAAAATTATCCAAAAAATTTGATTATTTTGCTTTTTTTCATCAATTATTGCTATTTTGCAACATCGGTAATAAATTTAAACATTTTTAACTTACAGTATATTGTGCAGAATTCAATTCTAAAACTTTTTTCCTCTTCAATATTCTTCCAAAATGCATAGGTTCCAAGATATAAGTAACAAACTCAACAAAATAAAATAAAATAGGTATATTTAAAATTTTTTAAAAACTTTTTTAATTTTAAAATGTTCACACAGATCTAGGGATCGACACTTATAAATTTGCTCGCCCCCTCTCACATTTACCTCAAAACAGATCCGCCCTAATATATCATAGATTAACATAATTTTTAAAAATCTTCCATGGCTCGAAAGCCGCTCGCTAAATGACAAATGTGCAAAAGGGCATTTTTGCTCTAAAATAAATGAGGTTCCTAAAAATAAAGTAAAAACCAGTAGAAAAACCATTGGCGTAGATTTTCTGGTCCATAAATCAATAGGCACTCCCCCATATCTACACCTCTGATGGATCTGAAATGCAATTATACCAAATTATAACCTACGTATCATAAATGTATTGACCAAAATTTAAACGATTTCCAATGAAAAATTTAGAAATTATCAATAAAAAACTTAGATTTTTTTTTTCGAAAACGAAGCATTTGCGGACCTACGTTTATAGGAATTTTTTCGTATTTTGGCATGTAGAATCTGTTCTAGAATTCTCTGAACAACATTTTGCTACATCCTGTATATTAGATTCAGTTAAATAATTAACAAAAGTACCCCACTTTATACCACAGGTATTTTACATCATTTTACGTTTTTTGATATTCAAATAATTCCAGGAAAATTGTATATCTTTGTATTTTTCCATTACAACATTTGCAAAAAATAAAACTGTCTATTATGCCCCCCCTCTTTATTTTGTTGGTATCATATGTCACAACGAACACTATATTTTTTTAAGTTTATTTACAGCACAGAAAAACGTTATTTCCCACTTTACACCTAATCGATTTCGGATAGAATTATGGCTTGTCTGTTATAAAATGGATATTCGTTTAATTTATTTTTACTCAGACATTAAGTTCAGCTATTAATTTCTTAGTGCACGATTCTGTATGGTGTATGTAATCCTAACTCTAATAGTAATAGCGAACACGGTTCGTTAAATTTACTGCTATCGCTAAATGTGTTTGACTTTACGGACGGCGGAAAGTCCGTATGGTGGGAGGACATTAAAGTTTTAGTGCGCTCTTGTAACAACATTTTTTCGAATTCTTGCTTTCTTTGATAACTATAACAAAAACAATACTTTGGTGCTGCTATATAACGCATTCGGTGAAATCACTACAAATTACATTCATTTTTGTTTTGAATGAATATTACTGGAAGGCGATTAGCGTACATTCGTTCTGCGGTCGCAACATTTTGCCTACATTCACCGTATACCAATGGCATGTCCACCAACTCGTGATGTAGTAATGTCGTGCCATTGCAGTAAAATATTAACACTCGGTTCGGGCTGAGGCTGTACAGTATTGGGGGTCATGAAGTCTTGCAAAAATTGTAATAAAATTTCCAAGGTCACATTTAAAAAACTGAAGTTGATGATGGTCCTGAAGAGACGAAATGTTACATATAAAAATTGATTATGCCATCCGATCGAGTGCAAAAAGTTGCCATGAGAAGGCAACTTTTTGCGCTCTTTTTTCAATCTCACCCCAAACAAGGCTGAAATGAAACAATTTCCAAAATTTCGTTTTCTCAAATATTTCGAAAACTAATCATGTTAACTTTGATTTTTTAGAGGCATTATGTTGGTCCTCTGATTATGCAACTTTGCCCCCATTTAAGCTACCTCGTATCTCTTACCGTTTCCGAGATCCCTGTAGTGAGAAGCGAATTTGTAACAGCCTATATGTCTGGTGAGTTTGGCTGACGAATGATACTAGTTACTTATTATTGCAGATATAATTCAATGCTGATAGGGTCATTAGTACACGGAGTAGTTGTTTCCAGCAATATTATCAGTTTACAAATAAGACGTTACCTAGAAAAGCTCAAATAAGCATATGAATAATTTGATCTTCAAAAAATTGCTTCAAGAATCTGTATGATTCCTTTTGTTTCAGATTCCTTAATGGGATCAGCGTCAGAAGACGACGAGGACGACGACAACAGCACGGCGTCCTCAGTTCTAAAGCACCACCCTCTTCATGGATCTCTACCACCAGCTCCAGGGGAGACCAACAACAACTCTCTCCCACATTCTGATATCAGTAGTTCGATAGGACAGGTAAATTAAATTTTCTCCATAAGCACCCTCTTCCCGCAAATCTTACTTTTATAACAAATCATTTCATAGTTTATAATGGGTACAGATATGTCAAGTATCTGGTTACAACAGAAGTCCTTCAAGGTTCCATTATTGGCCCTTTATTATCCATTGTGTTTATTAATGACATTTCGAGACTTTGGCATTGTATTTGGTGAAAAATTATCATTTAACGATATGCAATTTATTCTTAATTTATATATTTTATTTAGTTTTTTATTGTTCTTCAATTTTAGTTTGTAGTTAGTGTATTTTTTATTTTATTATTGGTTACTAACAAATATGTACTGTTGAACTGTTCCAATGGCTATGGTAGTGGTAGATCTTGGTATCTTCCTGTCCTCTTCAATAACAGAACTTCAAAAATATAACTGGCACTGCTGGGCATACTAGATAAGATTTCACAAATTACATAGCTCTTTCTCTTTTTGAAATTGTTGGTCAACATTTAGATAGGAAGCCTGATACATCAAACACATGTTCGGAAATTTGGTGTGAAAATTGTAGATTTCTACCACAGATAGTTATGGATTTCATGGTTTGTTGCTCAGAGTAAGTAGCTTTCGTGATCAGTTTTCTTGTTCCAGTGAAACCATGTACGGTTTTGTAAATTAAATAGGAAGACAGATTAGTTTGATACGCTTGCACCTGGTGCAGTTTTTGCCGACTTAATTCGATTAATAAAAATCGAAATTACTGTACTGTCTCATTGTTCTAATACTTGAATTCTGCTGACGTTTGTAGCCTTGTAATTGATAATAAGTAATAATTTGCAATTTTCCACATTGAAATTGCATTCAATTGAAACTTGAAGCAGATGGAGAAAGCGAAAACACTACAAGAAAATTTATAGACATGACAACTCAACTGTTATTGCCTTGACCAACAATTTGTCAACGCTTCTTTGTCTTCTCACTTTCATTTTTTATTCGTAGGACTCGAAAACGGGTCAGGACGACTCGGAGGACCAAAACTCGCTGGACGGCGATCCTGAGACGAGGGACTCGCAGACGGAAAACAAAAGCCCTGACGATAGCAGCGCGGGATCGAAACGTAGGGGGCCCAGGACAACGATAAAAGCCAAACAGCTAGAGATACTGAAGAACGCCTTCTCGCAAACGCCGAAACCTACCAGGCACATACGGGAGCAACTGGCCAAAGAGACGGGGCTACCTATGAGGGTTATACAGGTGAGTCGGACCTCGTTAGCAAAGTTTCCTTCATCCTTCCGATTTTTTTAACTTAAAGCTCTTTTCATAAGCTTTTCGAATATGTAATAATATATAACTATATCACGCGAGTGCGTCGTATATTTCATTTTGTAAATAAGGCTAAAAAATAAAAAAAATTGCAGGTTGCAAATTTGAAATTAAAAAAAAATTGTAGATTTCAATGTATTATGAAATCTACCATGAAAAAAATGAATGCGATTGTGGAAGATTATATTTAGATTATTTGTTACACGGAAAACCTTTTTTGGATTGTCCTGAAGAAGGCTTAAATATAGCCGAAACGTCGACTAACCAATAAACTGGTTTTCTTTAAAAACTGACCCCATTCCCAAACAAATTACCTTCAATATAATAATATAATTTGGTGTAAGGCATAAAACAGAAAAAAAAAGAAAATTTAAATTCACGTTCATTATTTTTCTAAGAGACCAACATCGAAATAACCCAAACGTTGTCCCCATTATTTTTATTAATAGCCCAAATATTAAAACTAACATTACAGGAGAAATATGGACCGGCAGTGTCACATCCATAACATTTTATTGTCTTTGTTCGAGGAGCACCTCAACAAATTCTAGATGTGATTAACATAAAGATACTGTTAGCAGGCGCGTAGTATCAAACCTTTCAACGTTAAAATAAAATTGACCTCCCCGGGACGGACACCACAACGAACAAAGTTTCCTAAGAATTTACGACCCTTGCAGGTATTCCAGGCCGTCATTTTTCAATTTAGTAACGGCCATCGGCTGTTTTTATTAATTCGGGATTCGGAATTTCTTTCTAATTATGGGTTCGGGATTATTCCGTTTTGTCTCCCGGTTTTGATAAATTATAGTCCATTTAGCGGGCAGTGGCAGATAGTTTAATTACGGGCTCCGCTAATCGCCTTAAAGAACAGTAATTTGGTGGGTCTTGAGGTGTGCCTTGTGGATCGTTTGTCAGATTTGTGTCTTGTATCAATTTTTCATCCATGTCATTACCATAATTGTTGATTTGTACAAAAAAAATGTTAACTAGTTGATCTATTTTTTTTACTTTATATTTAAATGAAATAGAAATAAATGAATCCGAGGAAAACCGCATTAAAAACAGTGAATTGTTGAAGCTGTGAATATGTATTTTTTATTATAGGCCAATCAATATTTATTCTATTCTATTCTATTCTGTGTATTCTTTATATAAATTCATTGGAGCGTTCGATAGGTAATAATTTTTTCGCAATGTATGCTGACGATTTATCATTAATTCTTTCAAATAAGTCAACAAAAGACCTGACTACTTAATCTAGAAAATACATTGTACAATGTGTCTAAGTGGTTCAGTCGTAATAACTTATATTTAAATACCGACAAAACTAAATTGATTAGATTTCACAATACGCAAAAAAAATATGAGTCTGTTGCGACAAATATTAATAACTGTACTATTACCAGTGATGAAACAGACTGTGTCAAATTTTTAGGAGTTACTTTGGATGATACATTAAATTGGAAAATGCATTGCAATAATGTTATATGTACATTAAGTTCAGTAAGCTACTTAATGAAGTGTATGAAAGAAATTTTGCACGAACAACAATTGTTAAATTTATATTATGCGTATGTGGAGTCTAGATTGCGTTACGGAATATGTTTTTGGGGTAACTCTGCCTTGTCTCATTCAGTTTCTGTCATACAAAAACGTATTTTAAGAATAATTGCTGGCGTGCCAAGTCATCGTACATGTAGAGATGTATTTAAGAAATTTTTCTTACGTTAGTATCATTATTTATTTTTGAAATGTCTGTGTATATATATAATAATAAGGAGTCTTTAATTCTGAATAAGGATATACATACAATCAATACCAGACNTAATAATAATAATAATAAGGAGTCCTTAATTGTCAATAAGGATATGGGTACATACAATCAATACCAGATGTTATGATATCCGAATTTCTTTTGTAAAATATACCATAACAGCTAATTCACCAGATTATTTGGGATTTAAGGTATATAACCATTTACCGAGTGAAGTCAAGACTGATAAGATTACAATATCTCAATTTAAACAAACACTTAAATTATTTTTAATAGATAAGTGGTTTTATTCTTTATTGGAAATTTTTTTCTGCTGTTGTGTTTTAGGTTAAGTTATTATTTGTTCATTTGACTATTGTTATACAATCCTTTTTTGTCCACAACAAGATAAATAAATAAATAAATAAAAAATGGAGATTTGTTTGTTACAAAAATACTAGTAGCAAACGGATTGTGTCAAAAAAACTAATTTTTTTAGTTTTTTGCTTATAAAACCTAATCTAACGAAGCAATCTGAATGCTATAAAAAGACAATTTGTAGAGAATCGAGATACGAATAAAACAGGAGGTCGATCGATCCAATCAGATAATCTGAAACGAAGAAAACCCGGAAAAATCGGAAAATATAGTGTTTTTTAAATTCATTACTCCGCCATTTGTAAAGATGTAGAGCTGACCCTGTGCACAAAAGTAATGAATTATATGTACTTTAATTGTGCACAAAGCAGGCACTGTCGGACTATTAGTTTAGGCACAATTGTTAAAAATTTGTTACTATTTAAAAGATAAAACTCGAGCACAAAAAAGTCAGGTCACTATAAAATACACTTAAAAGTATAAAAAAATAAACAGTCAAAACACACATATAAGAGCATATAATTAAATACAAACATAAGAGAGTAATAATTTGTAGAAAATTGAAAGACGAATCCGAAAATATCATGGTTGTTACCGTAAAGCAGTAGCGTATTATTTTATTTACAAAAATACAAGTGCCCAATTTCTCTTAGTAGTTTTTAAATTATTAAAAAAAACGAAGCATCCATCCTAGATAAAAACTTTATAGGAAAGATTCCCATTAAAATTTACCAAAGAATACGAGGTTTCATTTGTGAATCACCCTGTATTAAAACTGTATTCAGGAAAACAATTGGTTTTTGCGCTTTGGAGAAAATATTTTTTTATCTTCGTTATTATTACAGATAGATTTACCACACCTTATATCACTGAAATATTAAGGAGGCGCTTGTATCATCGAAATGCACATTCAATTGTTTTTCTAATTTTTCAAATTTAGTCCGAACATTTTTTTTCTGAATACGAAAGTGTATTTCTTTTCTTTCATATTAAACTTTTCTGAACCTAGAATATCCTCTATTCACATAATCCTGACATTTAGGTACATACCTATTATTAAAGTTACTTTATTTGTTTATTTATTTTTTCGTTCAATTTCATGAAATTTTTTTAACGACTCACTATTAATCCCAAGGATTTGAATTCTATAGTAGCTCAGTGATGTTACGACTTGATTGTGATACGGTTAAAAAGAAAATAACGAAAACCGCATCTTTTTCTTAATTCCACTTTCCTAGAAATCTGCATTATAAGTTTCAAATGGTTTACAGTTTCTATTGACAGGGCCTCATTTGTTCCCAAGTCGTTGATAAATAGATAGGTAGATAATAAAAATATGTAACGGTACAGTTTGGTTACTAGATTATAGTAAACCTATAACTGTTTATTACTAAGAAACAACAAACCAAGAAAACACAGATAATACGGGGTCTGTTCAGAAAATAACCGAACTTAATTTTTTTAAACTAACTGACGACTACTATTAAATCGAAAAAACCATTTTAACATTGGGTACGACCCAGAGCAGCATCTCCGTAAGCTTTTAAAAGCATACGTGAGTTGTCGGGAAGTTTTCCAATGTTTGTATTGAACGGAAATTTTATTTATACAGATTCCTTTCAGAATTTGTGCACGCGCCATTGAACTTTTCAATTTAAGTTTAGAAAGGGTCATTTCAATTTCATATTAGTAAATTTAATTTCAGAGGACATTATTTCAGTTCCATTATAATAAATTTAATTTCAAAAGGCGTTATTTGTATTCAGGTTACTCAAATCTATTTCATGAAATTTTAATTTGTTTCATAATCCACAATTTGTTTTCAGAAAATTTCAATTATATTTCAGAAATAATATGTCGCTAGATCGTTATAATGCTCAAAATCCTACATGATAATTCTACAGTCTGTTTGATTATAAAGGTACAACTAGGTTACCCATTTTTTGACACCCTGTGAAGTATATATACAGGGTGTTTCAGAAAGACCTCCCGTAAATTTAGGGGGTGATAGTACGACAAAAAATAAGAATTTTTTGTGTTATTAACTATATGTCTATCTTCTCTTGTTTTCGAGATACAGAGCGACAAAATACAATTTTTTAAATAGAATTTTTACGAAAATTTCCAAACGAAATATTTTTATGAAATTTGGTATTCCGGGGTTTTTAAGGACGCAAAATACGCTGGTCTAATTATTTTTTGTATATTTAATAGAGGGCGCTAATTGCGCTACATTCCTGTTACATTTTAGGTTCTAATTTTTTTAAGGTTAGGTTTTTTAACATTCGGGCTCCAATTTCTAATGTACAATTTTTTTTCTAATAATAATGTACTCTTGTTAGAACTTCCTAATGCGGACGGTTTTCGAGAAAAAAGGCTTTTAATTGAACTCTTACAATATTTCGGTGAAGAAAATAAGAGACTTTTCTCAAAGTAGGCTTATGTCAAAACTGATTGATGGATGTCTCATAAACAACGCATGCATTCTCAGTAATATTTTAAACTCTAATTAACTTTATATCAAAATTTTAGTGATTGTTACTGACTGTAGTTAGTAATGACTAATTACAGTCACTAAAATTTTGATATAAAGTTAATTAGAATTTAAAATATTACCGAGAATGTAAGCGTTGTTTATAAGACATTCATCAATAAATTTTGACATAAGCCTACTTTAAGAAAAGTCACTTACTTTCTACACCGTAATATTGTAAGAGTTCAATTAAAAGCCTTTTTTCTCGAAAACCGTCCACATTAGGAAGTTCTAACAAGAGTACATTATTTTTAGAAAATAAAA